GGCACCCCAACACTGCACGTTTTGCATGTCTCCTTAATCAAACACACCTGATTCAGGTCATTAGCTCATTAGTAGAGACTTCAAGACCTGAAATTGGTGCGTCAGAGAAAGGAGACATGCAAAATGTGCAGTGTTGGGGTGCCTCCAGGACCAGGGTTGGGATCCACTGCTCCAAAGCATTCAAGATTTATGACAGAAATTAAATTTTCAGGTCTATGCTCAAAAAATGGTTAACAGGTAATAAATGGATAATAATTATTCCATTAATATAATTTAGTACAATAAGATCACCTGAAAATACAAAATATTAAATTGAAAAACATTATAGAACTAAAATATAGTAAATTTATTTTATTGAAAAGGGTTTTTTTCCCCCTCAGTGTCAATAAGTATTTCCCATTGTGACAACTGACCCCACCTGCATGCTCTGCTAATGGGGACATGTTGTATGACAAAATATGTCAGTGAGTGATTATTTCATAAATGATTACTCATATTAAGAATTGCAGTGGTTTGTGGTAATCTGCAATACATGTTTATTATGTAACTACTTCAGGCATTTTGAGTGAGTATTACCACTTGGTGGCAGTGTTTTAAAAAAAAAAAAATTGTTTGCACAGATAACTTAACATAATCCCTTGTATTTTTCAGAATTAGAGGAGTACAAAAATGCACTGTTTTTGTGCAAAAGAAATACCAAAGAATGAATGTTGTGAAAAATAATTGCTTTTATTCCTGTATAGCAGTGGTTGTTCACAGACCACATAACTTGTGTGCGACTGAAGAAAAACCGGTTATATGCACAAACAAAAGAGAGAGAGAGATACAATAATCTATTTTCCATGAAAAATGGATTCCATGCAACAAAATGAAGTATAAACCACGTTTAATGGATTTCGCTGCTCGATGCACCACTGATTGGCACGTTTAGTGATTGTGCACTCGTCAGAAAACTGTAAATGTTCATACAAACAACCCCCCCCTCACATATAACAATACATGCTCAACACAGAAAATATTGCTGAATAAAATTAAGTGATAATATACAGTGAAAATAATAATAATCTTAAACAACTGATACAATAAGTTAGATTGAAAGAAAACACATGTCTGATGAAACAGTCTTCTAGTCTGGGCTGTTAAATTAAGATCGTCATGCTCAACGGAAAAGCTGAATATTGGCTCAGGTTCGTTCATTTTCGCAAACATGAACTTTCTGGCTGTACGTCTTTCCCAGGGCAAGCAAAAATAAAGGGGAACTACTTTACCGTGGACCATAATGCAGCTGCGTCTCGCTCGTAGAGTTGTTCTGTTTTCAGCAACTTCCTGTTAAATCCAGATCCCCCTTTGTTTTTTTTAAAGATTTATTTTTGCCGTTTTATGCCTTTTATTTAGATAGGACAGTAGGTCGACAGGAAGCGAAGTGGGTGAGAGAGAGACGGGGGTGGGATCGGGAAAGGTCCACAAGCCGGGACTCGAACTCGGGACGCCCGAAGCGCAAAGGCGCTACATGTCGGCACACTGCCCACGAGGCCATCGGCGCCGACCAGATCCCCGTTTTAAACCCATTTCTCTCAATTTACATAACTAATAAATGAATGAGGGGAGGAACTATGCTCTAGTCTAGCTAGAGCATCAGCAGCCCTTTAACATGGAGTGAAGGGAACAGCGAGCATTTGAAGAACAGGCAGAAAATCAGGCGAACCAGCCAAAAACATGTCCAAATCGCAAAGTCAAAAATAATTCTATAGATAGGAAAAATGAAGCCTATCTTTAGAAACCTTAAGATTTTGACTCGATTTTCATGACAATTTTTTGAAAGGTGAGTCTCATTACTGTAATACAGTGTTACAGGTTGTTGTTGTTTTTTCAATTGTAAATAGAATAATATAGAATAAAAGCTGTATAACAAATACTATCATGATGGATAAATGATTTATCATTTAAATTACATATCACAGTTTTATTCACTGCATTACAGCAATGGCAATTGAGATTTTTATTTTATTTTATTTTTTTCTGGTAATAATCACTGGGTGTACAGAGTAAAATGAACAAATCATCAATATATAAATAACAATATAATAACAATTATTGATTCTCATAAACATAATTATTGGCATTTTCTTTATTTTTTAAATATATTTAACAATTTTTGTCCTCTGTTTTTCTGGTTAATTATGCTCCGGAGAGGTTTTGTGAGATTCGCCCATAACATTATATATGTAAGAACATTGTGAAGAACTGTACATTCTCACTTTAGCACTGAACACCACGTGTTTTTCTAAATATTTTCCAATAGTTCATTCATATAAACAGCATTTATTACTGTTTTTGTCATCTATTATTGACAGATGGCAAATGAACAAATCATCAATATATAAATAACAATATAATAACAATTATTGATTCTCATAAACATAATTATTGGCATTTTCTTTATTTTTTAAATATATTTAACAATTTTTGTCCTCTGTTTTTCTGGTTAATTATGCTCCGGAGAGGTTTTGTGAGATTCGCCCATAACATTTTATATGTAAGAACATTGTGAAGAACTGTACATTCTCACTTTAGCACTGAACACCACGTGTTTTTCTAAATATTTTCCAATAGATTTCAGAACAGGCATATCTGCGTTCATTCATATAAACAGCATTTATTACTGTTTTTGTCATCTATTATTGACAGATGGCAGAAGATCACTGCGTCGATATACTCCTCGGTTTACATTCTACACAGAGCACTAAATAATAATTACATTCTCTTTAGGATTCACTCTGAAGTTCGTTCATTTGCTATTTATAATGCAGATCACATTCTGTGATGTGTGCTCTGCTGCAAATACTAAAGAAAACTGTTGCTGCACATTATTATCATTTATGTACAGCAGTGCCATTTTATTTACATATCTAAAACTTAGTATTCTGACAGTACTCGAGTTTTTCTGGCCTCTATTTGTTGTATAGGCTACAAGCGGAGATCGGAGGCAAATGTCTGGCTTCCCCAGAAAAAGAATATTAAACTGTGAGCTTAAAATGCTGTTATGAATTTGACTGATTGCGTTTTAATGAGAATACATATTTTTCTCCAATTTCAAGTGTTCTGGCCAAAAACAAAAAGTAGTTAATTCACCCAAAATTGAAAACTTTGTAATTTTCTCACCCTCAAATTGTGACCCTGGACCACAAAACCAGTCTTAAGTCGCTGGGGTATATTTGTAGCAATAGCCAAAAAAAACATTGTATGGGTCAAAATTATCGATTTTTCTTTTATGCCAAAAAATCATTAGGATATTAAGTAAATATCATGTTCCATGAAGATATTTTGTAAATTTCCTACTGTAAATATATATTAAAACTTAATTTTTGATTAGTAATATGCATTGCTAAGAACTTTAAAGGCGATTTTCTCAATAAATGTTTTTTTTGCACCCTCAGATTCCAGCTTTTCAACTAGCTGTATCTCGGTCAAATATTGTCCTAACAAACCATACATCAACGGAAAGCTTATTTATTCAGCTTTCAGATGATGTATAA